TGCCCCTCTTCCCCTTATTCTCCCTCCTCCTCCCTCATAGCCCTTGCCTCGTGTTTTTTGTCCAGTCCTTTAGCGTTCTTGTCTAAAAGCTCAAGCCAAGGGCGTAGTCATGCTAGCGCCACCAGCTCTGGCAGTGTTTCAGCTGCCTCCAGTTTTATCGCATCATCATCACCATCCTCCTTCAGTCCCCCCTTTTCTTCCACCCTCACGTCCTGTCATGCTTTAACCGGCCCCTCCTCTGTCACTCCCAGCCCTGAGACACCTTCTGCCTCTGTGTCATCACTCTGCAGGTAATTTATCAAATTCCCAGCCTCCCTATCTGAGAATACTTGCTTTTTATTACCTGTTATTGAATAATCTAGCATGTTGATTATCTCAGATATTTTCCCATAAGAAGATGTCAAAAAGATGCAAGTCAGCAGTTAAAATCCTACTTTTTCTTCTTTCAAGTGCATTTTCACAAAGTTCTTTGGAAGGAGACAATCGAGTGCTTCAAATGGAGTGTGAGGAGTCAATAGATGAAGAGAGATCCAACTTTGACTTTAAACTCTCTGCTGCCATCTCAGAGGAGAAAGCATTATCAGACTCTGAAATCAAGGTGTGAGTTTTCTCTTAGATTTGATTTGTGGTCTAAAATGTATCATTTTTCTTAATCCTAATTGCATCTTCGCTCTCGGTGTAAACAGACAGACATCAAGGATGGTCAGCGTGGAAAGGTGTCCTCAATTCGTATCCGTAAAAAGATTCCAAAGCCTCAGAATAACCTCACCCCTATGGGCCTTCCTAAAGTCATCAGGTGTGTATGCATAGAGAAGGTTATAGGCTTGGTCATATCTATCTGTGTCTGTACTTCATCACAGCAAAGATACATTTCTTGTTTTGTGTTTCACAGAATAAAGAAGAAGGATTTCAGCTTGGAGGAAATCTACACAAACAAAAACTTCAGCAAACCTCCTGATGGGTGAGACATTTTCCAAATGAGTTATTTTCTGGATAATTGATTTACCCATTTATCAACTTAATGGGGGTTATGCGCAACAGACTTCCGTATTCTGTTAACCGGGTCTCGTCACTTGCGGTTCAAGCGTTTTGCATATGCTTCGTTAATATGAAGCAGTTTTACTCGAGATGCCTTCAAAGTACATACCAGTGATGATCATAACCAATGTCCATCACATATGCGGACTGATATCTAAAAAATTTTTACATTTTATTCTTTTCACTAATATTTAGATATAAAAATTGAATAAAACGTCAACAATAAAAATAGCTAGCTAGTTTAACTGATTATCTTAAAAGTCCATAGATATCGCTATTATTTAATACGGCTGTTAACACGTTCTCCGACAAGCGGAAGCGATGCGACCTGTTTTCCGGGTTTGGTCAGGTGACGTTCGACATATACCCTATTATTGGTTCTCTATATATTTAGTAATCAAACTGACAGAAGATGGAAGTTAAAAATTAAGTGCTTGGCACTCTTTTCAGACTGGTTGCATTTATTGATTTTATTATCATTTCTTTATTTGTCACTATTGTACCTCACCTTCAGGATTTCTAGTACTCACAGACATTGGGGTCAGACAGAATATCCCAATAGCCCATTGTAATGCCTTTTCAGTGCAGCTTTAAAGCTATCAGTGTGTTCTTATACTGCCGAAGTAAAAATGTGGGGTAATGCATTAGTTTTATCTTCTATTTAACTATACTAATTATTCCATAGTTTTATTTAATACTATATATCACAGTTTGATACGCATATCACCAGTGACTTAATATGTATTGTGTGTATATATATATATATATATATATATATATATATAATTTTTGAACTTGAGAGGTTTCTGTCCCTCCATTCAAATGGAAAAAACTATATGAATCAAACGGTTTACTCTTAAGTCTTGTGAAGAGATATGATCGATCTATATGGTGAACAGATTTAATTTAGGCTTTCAATCTAAACAGTGATCAATACGCATACATAGAGCATATCACATATGGTAAACAAGGGTGCAAGACACACGAGAACCAATGACATTTGTTCTTGCATGTAACACGCACAAATTGTGCACTGCAAAAAATGCTTTTCTAGCTTAGATTTTTT